TGTTTTGGTTTCTGCTATCAGGCAGCACCTGATAGGCAAACTGCGGGACTGCAGGGCTGTTTTCAACAGGAACAATTGTTTTATTCGCAGACGGAGCACAAAAAGCAGTCTGTGGTGTGGCTAACGTGTTTTTTCTCTCCTTTACAGGAGGAGCAAGAGGTCTACGTTGTGCCGGGACTGAATAGTTGTCGGTTATCTGTATCTGCTCTAATGAAGCAGGGGTTCCAAAATGTGCTTTGAAAATGACACCTGTTCCATTTTCAGAGGGGGGCGACAACTGGTCAACATGGCGAAGAGCAAGAATAATTTCTTTGTTCTGGAGTCACCTCTGGAGGGTGGTGGGAATGCTGGAAAAAGCACAGGTGCAGTGTGCTAAGGTTCCCAGTGATGTGCAAAAGTTGCACAGGTGCACAAAAGGGTACAAACTCCGGAAATGTGGGAGGTCCCAAGGGTGCAGGGCATGCAAAGGTGCAAAGGTACTTGGTTTTCCCGGGTTTGGGAGGGTAGCCAAGGAAGCTTTTGAGCTTGTTCACACAGATCTGTCAGGACCCATGAGGTGTGAGAGTCTGGGTGGGGCCAGGTATGTGCCATCGCTGACAGATGACCACAGCCAGGTTGGCTGGTGTCTCTCTCTCAAACCACAGGGAGAGGCGGCGCAACTGATCCAGGATTGGGTTGCGGAGGTAGAACTAAGGTTCTCCACCAAGGTGCAAGGGTTCAAGAGCGACCGAGGGTCACAGTTTACTGGGTCTGCTCTGGAGGAATTTTTCAAGGAAAAGGAAATACGTCACTAGGTGACGGGTGCAAAGTCTTCTCAAGGGAGAAGGGAGGTTGTTGCTGAGCCCGGTGACGGGGATCAAGTCCAGGGTCAGGGTTCAGGGCAGGTTTGGGCATCTCCAAGGGTTGTGAAAGGAGTGTCCAGGTGTGAGGCTTCATCTCCGGTAATGGTGAAAGCTCACGGAAGGGTTGTCAAGTCAGAGGGGGAAGAGTCTGACGGAGAAGACACAACTGCTGGCCTTAATGGGTCAGTAGGGTATCAGGTCACAGGTGCGTGGAAAAGTGTCGCACAGTGTGATTCTGGGAATGCTGAAGGGGTTCAACAGGTGCCTGGGAAAGATGCCGGGAAGTGGCACAAGGCAAAGGGGAAGGTGTTGAACTCAGAAGGTCTTGTCAGAATGTGATGCAGAGGGGGTATGGGAGTTGGAACTTAACTGGTTAAGTTGTTCCCATGATGCCTCAATTCTGACGTCAGCTTTTGGAAGCTGGGAGGAGCCTGGGAGGAGTTTCTGTCTGTTCCCCTCTGGTCGTTGAGGGAGAAAGACGTAGCTTTCCTAATGGCGGAAAGGAGCCCAGGAGATTCCTGGGGGAATGTCGGAATAAAGAGCTGTAAATAGACAAACCGGGCTCTGTGTGTTTGTCTGGAAGCTGAGACGAGCTGAGACGAGCTACGTGACAGTTTTACACCGCTGTGTGAAACTCTGCTACAGGTGTGACTGGAGCTACCGGACGACGGAGCTGAGTGGCGCAGCTGAGGGAAGCGCGCCGGACCGGGCTGCCATAAATAGCTAATTGAGGACCAATAAATCAATTAGCGGGGCCCCAATATCGTAAATCTCCACAGAAAGTAAATATACACATTCAGCACTGCTGGACATGTTAGCATCCATTTATCAAAGAGTTCCATATGGGCTAGTCTTCCATATTGGTTTCTATTCACTCTGCCAAATGGGCAAAAAACTCCTTTGCTAGTCTGTTGCTTCTGTATCTTTCTGGTTGAGTACAGAGGCGTAGAAGAATCATAGAATTGTAGGGTTGGAAGGGACCCCAGGGGTCATCTAGTCCAACCCCCACTCCATTTCTTCTCTACTCCACTCCACTCCACTGAGAAGTGGAGAGAAGCAATTCTGAATTTGAATCCGCCCTTCATTCTTCCACTGGGCTGAAGAGTAAGACAAATTAGCTTTTCCATACCCACTTCAATTCTCAGGTACTCCAGCAATGAAGAAGCGAATCTGAAATCATCATATCTTCATGGGCCTTTTTGCAGCATCGCAAATAGCATCTCAGTTAGCTGAAATGCAAATCCACTCATTTATTTATTCTGTGTGGGCTGATTCCTGGGACAATGCAAATGTGTATTCTGTTATTGCTGGCCGTAATCCAAGAGCCTGGCTCCTGGCAGCAACACTGAGCGATGGCCACACAGTGCTGTTGTGGCCGCGGCGGCAACAAAGGCATGTTTTTCAGGCCGCTTCACAAGCGTTGAGCCTGTCAGCCCATATGAACAGGTGGCAGACTTTTTTGTTATTATTCTTTTGCATTTGGTGCTACAAGGCACCTAGATATTTGATGCTGGCCCCTAGGAATGTGTCGGTGTGGGTTTTCTTTGGACAAGTTCTATGCATTGCTACGTCCCAGGAATTTCAAACATTTTTTCCTGGATTATAGATATAAACACAAAGGTGCCTGGTAAGTAACCAGACTCCCTAGAACTCACATCCTGCTTCTGAGCTTCCCAGAAGCATCTGTCGGACTCCTGTTAGAAATGGAAAGCTGGGTTAGATGGACTTTGGTTTGAGCCAGCAAGGGATTTCTTATATTCAGAAATACAAATTTATGCAAGGCGTTCCAGTTTCCTCACTGTGGGCTTTCCCCCCTTCCCTTATTTTATCATACTTGCATTCCACATTTTCCCCAAGGAGCTCAGGGTAGTGTGTGCCCCTTATTTATACATACAACAACCTTGTGATGTAGGTAGAGAAAATAAAGTGTGCTTTGCCCAGAAACTTGAATGCAGGCCTCGTTAAGTTCAGATCCAGTGTGCCATGATAGAGAGTATTCTCAAAACAAAAAGGAATAGTTTAAATGATTTCCACAATGTATGTATATTTATTTGAGAATTTATAGACTACCCTTCTGTGTGTGCATATTTGGCGTGGCTTGCATCCAATAAAATAATGTGATTTCATGGTAAGTTCACCACAGAAAATATAGGCTGGAAGACAAAAGTTATCACCAAACAGCAGAAGACTGGAAGGGAAAGGAGATTCCAGCTAAGCACCCAGAAGAACTTTCTGGCAGTAAACTTTGTTTGATAGTGGAACAGACCCCCATGAGAGGTGATGGACTCTACTTCCTTGGAGGTTTTTTTTTGGCAGAGATTGAATGGTCACCTGTCATGTATGATCTAGTTGAGATTCCTGTGATGTAGGGGTTAAAAGGTAAAGGCACCCCTGATTGTTAGGTCCAGTCGCGGACGACTGTGGGGTTGCGTGCTCATCTTGCTCTATACACCGAAGGAGCCGGTGTTTGTTCGCAGACAGCTTTGGGTCATGTGGCCTGCATGACTAAGCCACTTCTGGAGAACCAGAGCCGCACATGGAAATGCCGTTTACCTTCCCGCCGGAGTGGTACCTATTTATCTACTTGCACTTTGACGTACTTTCAAACTGCTAGGTTGGCAGGAGCTGGGACTGAACAACGGGAGCTCACCCCGTCGTGGGGATTCAAACCGCCGACCTTCTGATCGGCAAGCCCTAGGCCCTGTGGTTTAGACCACCACCACCCGTGTCAATGTAGCGGTTAGGACTAGGTTATCAGCAGGGTCTCAACTAAATCTACAATTCTATGATTCCAACGACACAGCTGTTGAGTGGTCAGGTGAGCGTTACTGCCTCCCATGCATTGGTCTGGGTCTTTAGATGTCACTTACACAAGTGTGTCCAAATATGTCACACCCACTATGGAACAGAATTCCTTGTGATGTAATTTCTGCAGAATGCCACCCGTCTAGAATGTCCAGTGGAACTTCCTCAAGTCATGTGGTGGTGTGCATGGCAGGCATAGATTTCAGCCATCTTGACATGGCGATGATAGAGATCTTTCCCCCTTCTCTGAACTTCCTGGTGCACACCAGTACCAATTTGGGTTTCCTATAAACTAACGAGAGGGGATCTAGCTCGCCTCCCTGAAGAGAGAGCGCTGCATACTGCCAGTAGATGGACACACTGCGTGTGTGCCCAGTGCTTAATCTTTGTTTGAGAGGAATGAAAAAACATGAACAAGCCGGTGACGTGGATGGCTCTAATGGGAGATTGAACAGGTATGATAAGATTGATAAGTTGAATAAGGGCCATGATTTGATATGACTCTCTTGCCCATAGTAGGTGCTATTGGAAAGGCCTTCAGTGGCTTCCCCATATACATGGTTGACAAATATAACCAGAGTTTGAGGAAGGACAAAGGAAGCTCAAGTGAAGAAACTGCTACCTGTGTCCTATACATGGAATTGTTTAGAATTACCGTATTTTTCGCTCTATAAGACGCACCAGACCATAAGACGCACCTAGTTTTTGGAGGAGGAAAACAAGAAAAAATAAATAAATCTGAATCTCAGAAGCCAGAACAACAAGAGGGATCACTGCGCAGCGAAAGCAGCGATCCCTCTTGCTGTTCCGGCTTCTGGGATAGCTGCGCAGCCTGCATTCGCTCCATAAGACGCACACACATTTCCCCTTACTTTTTAGGAGGGAAAAAGTGAGTCTTATAGAGCAAAAAATACGGTATCTTCACTATTAGCATGTGAACTTTTTCTTCTCAAAGTGACTTAATAATAATAATAATAATAATAATAATAATAATAATAATTTTTATTTATACCCCGCCCTCCCCAGCCAAGGCCGGGCTCAGGGCAGCTAGCAAGCAATAATAAAAACAAGTTGAATGAATACAACTTAAAAACAAGATTAAAATACAACAAAATATTGAAACATTAAAATATTAAAATGCAGCCTCATCACAGGAGGCGAAAGGAAAAAGGAAAAAGTAAGGGGGAGGGAATGGAACGCGAACAGATATTTAAAGAGTAGTGGGACAACCCTTTCTTATTGTTTGATGTAGTCTTTTGCTGTTAAAAGGGATTTCTTCTTGAAAAACATTATTTTTTTTAAAAAAGGATATTCACCTCCCCAGTTCCCTTAATATTCCCGTTTGTTTCATAGCAATGCAAGACTGGAATGCACAACGGCGCCAGATGCCGTAGGGGACATGGGAAGCAACGATTTCCTGGAGAAAGATGGGCACGAAAACCTGGGGCATGACTTCATCAATGGGACCACCAGCGGCAATGCGGAAGCAGCCCGGAGGCTGGCAAAGCGCCTGTATCATCTGGATCGATTCAAGCGGTCTGATGTAGCGAAGCACTTGGGGAAAAAGTAAGGATCTGGCTTTCTATCTCAAAGGGTGTTCATGTTGCATCTGCAGAATGATAAAAAAAACATGAAAAGTTCACTTTTTATTAATGCGGCTTTTTTCTTTTCCTTCTTTCTTTTCCTGCATCTTAAGCAATGAGTTCAGCAAACTTGTCGCTGAGGAATACCTCAAGTTCTTTGATTTCACAGGCATGTCTTTGGATCACTCACTCAGGTAGGAAATCTCTGTGTCTTTTCCTGGGTTGTGTCTCATCCACTGTGCCTATTTTAAGGTGTGCCTTCTCACTCTTAAGGTGGGTTGGCATGATTGCCCCTGACCCACCCAGCAACAAGCCTCTTCCCACTCTGTCCTGGGCCTGACTTGCCTACATGCATTGAATATAATGTACAATCCTGCACACCTAGGCCTTGCTGGCCCATAATCCAGACCTGGCAAGACACCAGCATGGATTCTAGTGTTTTGCATCTATGCATGGACTATTTGTCCACCCTCTGACCTTTCCATCACTTGATTATTGGGAAGCCCCCAGGTTTGCATGCCAGGTATTGAACTTAGGGATTTGTAAATGCAGAGTGTGTTTCTTATGACTGAGCTATGATTCCTTCCCTGCGTATGCGCTTCTTACCCAAGCTGGGGCTTGGAGCAGAATGGTCAGAAAGGAGCAGGAGCTGGAATCTGGCAGACATGATCTATCAGTCCCTCTTTAGGCTTTTTTAAAGAAACCACAGATAGATCTGCATTCTCTGTGCTTTGTAATTCTTGAGTGGCGAAGACTTAAAACCCATGAAACACCTCACTGAACCCCACAAGAGCTTTATTTTTTTAAGAAAAGGAAAAAAAGAAAGGGGGAAGCAAGAGAATAATAACAAATTTGGAAAGGCTTGCCATTGTGTGATCTAAAGACTGAGGGAGACAAGAGGTAACAAGATCTCTATGAAATATATATAGGGAGGGGAGATGAGAGACCCTAACAGCTGTGTTACCTTAAAAAATATACAGTGGTGCCTTGCAAGACGAAAATAATCCGTTCCGCGAGTTTCTTCGTCTAGCGGTTTTTTCGTCTTGCGAAGCAACCCTATTAGCGGCTTAGCGGCTATTAAAGGCTTAGCGGCTAAAAGGTTATTAGCGGTTTAGCAGCTTAGAAAAAGGGGGGGGGAGCAAAAAAAATCGCAAGACTTGCAAGACGTTTTCGTCTTGCGAAGCAAGCCCATAGGGAAAATCGTCTTGCGAAGCAACTCAAAAACAGAAAACCCTTTCGTCTAGCGGGTTTTTCGTCTTGCGAGGCATTCGTCTTGCGGGGCACCACTGTACAGCTATTTGGATTAGCTGGATTTTGGAATGTGTATCTAAACAGTGTGCTCTCTCTACTGGAAGGAAGATTTGAAGGAAGCTCAGCACCCAGCAAATCCTAAGTGTGTGTGAGAAAGATAGGACTACATTTGGAGAAAAAGGAATCACAGCCAGTCCTAGTCCCATCCCTCAAATGTCTGGGGTGCAAGGAGTGTAACAGTGGTTTACACAATCTCTCATTTTGTGGGGGTTGTATTGGAGTTGTTTTTTCCTTTGCATCCCCCACCCCCCTTACTGCAACACATTTATTGAGAAGCAACACATTCTGAGGCTGGAAACAGGTAACAGCTTTTTAAAAGTGGTTTGAGAGAGATAGTACTTCCCATTGCATTTATACATCTAATTTTTCTCCCACTGTTTCCTCTGCTGAAACAGCTTCTACGGGTTTTTGGAACAATATTAAAAACCTGCAATATTTGTTTGACTAGTAGAGGTAAAAGTAGGAGCTGCCAAGCTAGCAGTTTGAAAGCATATCAGTGCAAGTAGATGAATAGGTGGCAGGAAGGTAAATGGTGTTTCCATGTGCTCTGGCTTCTGTCACAGAGTCCTGTTCCACCAGAAGTGGCTTAGTCATGCTGGCCACACGACCCAGAAAGCTGTCTGCGGACAAATGCCGGTTCCCTTGGCCTGAAGGTAGAGACAAGCGCCGCATCCTGTAGTCGATTTTCGACTGGACTTAACCGTCCGGGGGTCCTTTACCTTTTCACTTTGCAAAAGCTGGATAATGTTGCTCTTTTGAATCATATTCAGTTCTCTGAAAATGCTGTCCTCTGTTTCCAACCTCAGTACAAACATCTTTAAAGGCTACAGAAATTTCTGGTCATTGTCCGTGGTAAAATGACTTGACTTGACTCTTTAAAGGCTGGTTTAACTCCCCCCTCCTCTTTTTACATTTTTTTCTCAGGACATTCTTCAAAGCCTTTTCTCTTATTGGAGAAACTCAGGAAAGAGAGCGAGTTTTAGTTCATTTCTCCAACAGATACTACCAGTGCAACCCAAATGCCATTTCCACGCAAGGTAATTTTACTTCCATTGCTTTTAAAACATTACCATTCCTACCTTTCCCCAGGCAGAATTCAAGGTGGCTAGCAACAGTAGAAAATTAAAGCGACATCACAGTAATGCAAAGATAATAACGCAGGAATGACAACAAAGTCAAGGGAAAACAAACACACCCACTCAAAGCAATTCCCAGTAAAACTAGAACAATTTCCCAGCGAAGCATAAACACACTGAAGGCCACAGTTTGGCTTTGGCACTTGTCAGATCAAATGGCCACTGTGATTGCAACTGAGTCACTCCAGTCTTTTGAGATCTAGTCGGGGAACAAAGGAAGCCTAGTAAACTCAAAGCAATAAGGCAAGATAGAATATGCTATTTGTTGTCAGGTTCAAGAATTGGTTAGGACTAGTGTTAGGTATTTCCATTTACAGGAGGGAGATACCTGGATAGCAGCCCCCCCCCACCTGATGCCCTCTAGATGTTTTGGGCTTCAGCAATCCCAGCCAGCATCTGAAGAGCTCTGGCTTGGGAAATGATTAATAATAATAATAATAATACATCATATTTGGGTGTTGAATGCCCTTGTCTCCCACTTAAAGCACCATATCTTCTGCCACATTGCTTGGTGAGAATGAAAAGGAAAGGCAAAGGTAACAAGGTGAACAAGTGCAGTTACATAGGCTTCTTTAGTTTCTATTGGAGGAGTGTGGATTAAGGAATTTAGTTAATGGCTTTTGTGATGATGTAGGTTTAAAGACAGGGAGGTAGTGGAAGGCCTGGCGTGCTCAGGTCCATGGGGTCATGAAGAGTCAGACACAACTAATCGACTAAACAACAACAACAAGGTTTAAAGACAGGAATTTAATGGGGGCAGGAACAGAAAGAGGTGGCACGCTGTGGGTGTTCTGCGGGTGTGGGGGTCTTGTTGAAGGTATCAAAAGGGCCAATCCTTTTACATTGAATTTGGGCTAGTCTGGTGTTGGGGACAATGACTTCAGTGAGGCTGAATTTGGTTAAAACCATTGGCTTAACTGGACTGTAGATTGGGTTGTAAAAAGTCAGACAAAACCTTTGGAAGGTCAGCTTATACGGCTGAGGTTGATATTCATGGATCTTTGACATTTGTGGTGCGTTCCTTCAAAGCGTTTGGGTCCCAAACTTAGGAGGTTTCACCTCCCCGCCCCCTCCAAAAACAGGAAAAAATTGGGCTAGCTGTTTCTCCCTTCCTCCTTATCAACCCTTATGACTTCATCTCATGAGACGGTCTCTCTTGATTAATGTCATGCATTTCTTTATAAGCAAATTGCTTTTGGAAGAAGAAGGGAGTGTTAATTAGGCTTCAGGGGGGTCCCAACTCAACGTGAATCATTCTTTCATAAGCAGATGTGAGTAGTAGGAAGTGTGATTTCTCTCCCCCACCCCACCTGCCTGTGTGACTTTCTGTGTGTCATGCTTGGGGTGTTTTCCCTCCCTACAGATGGAGTCCATTGCCTCACATGCGCTATCATGCTGCTGAACACTGACCTCCACGGCCATGTGAGTATTCTGCAAATTGTCCTGTTTGCTCAGAAATTTTGAACTGCTCTTTCAATATACTTGTTGCGGTTGAGTACTCCCTGCTCAAGTCCTCGCAGGGTCGGGTTGAAGCAGCCAAAAAGATTTCAAGTGACATTAGCAGAGGTGGAAGGCAGTTGTGTGAAGAGCTTGTGAAATTGGCAAGGGAGCCAAAACCAATATGAATGCGTCTCATAAGAATGAGGGCCAGGCTGGATGCAGTGAATTGGGCAAGTCTGGAAACCCAGTAGCTCGGAAGAGGAAGGCAGTTAGAAGAACAGCTTCACAAGCACAGAGGACCAGCCAGATTTCGGGCACCGGAAAATCACCCAGACTAATGGATTTCAGGAGACCCTGAAAGATGCAATGCAAGGAGTGGATTGGGATGGGCTCTCCTTGATCACCTGATTTCCTTACTTAGGGTGATGTGCCTGAAAAGCTGGATGTTCCCTCTTGGCCCAGTTGTATAGGGAGTTGATGTCTGGCCTGCCAGACCATTCAAGCCCCAGCGCAAGCAGAGCTTGTAAATCATCCTCACAGCACAAACTACTCCAACTTCAGAATCTGAATGCCTGGCATCCCTGGCTTGTGCACAAAGGGAGGCTATATATAGATGGCAACTTCTCAGAGATTTGGCAGCCATATTACAGAGCCATTCTTATCTAAGATAAGGCCCCACAAATACCCCAGAGAAGCATTTTAAATAAAAGGACACATTCTACTCATGTAAAAACACACTGATTCCTGGACCATTTGTGGGCCGGATTTAAAAGGCAATTGGCAAAGCGAAATTTTGAATCTTGCAATGTGACGGTGATTAATATCCTGGAAAGAATATAATCCTGGGCAGTTGGGAGGTTCAGCTACTCTATTCCAGTGAATTCTCCAACTCCTATATTTAAAGTACAACTAACTGATTTGTAGCGCTGTGAACCAAGGGAAGTCTATAGAGCCCTCTAGAGAAATGCAATTTCCAGCAGCTTCTCTTGGGTTGGGGGGGAAAGCTGAGCAACAAAGCAAATTGTTCCCTGGAAACCTTACAGCTGAAATATAACATGTTCGTTTATTTCCCTGGAGGTATTGCTGGCACTTGGGGTAGTCTAAAAACAGCGCAGAAGCAGCAATTAATTTCCCACCTTCCTTTTTGGTTCTTGCTGGTAGTTGTGAGCGCTTTGCAATAAATGACTGCTAGTGCCGGGTAGGCAGCTTGAACTGAGAAGAGAGGAAACTGACCTTGTGTGCTTTATTTCACTGGGAAACAAGCCCAGTTTGATCACGTCTGTGTAGTGTCCTCTCTGGTGTTTTGTGTACCACTGACTTCAGTGAGATTAGGAAGGACCAAAGTACAAAGTAAATGCAGCCTGGGCTGCCGTCTCTCTTGAATGCACTCTGGGAAGTAAGACCTGTAGAACTCAAAAGTGATTTAATTCAATCTGTTATTAGGCTGTTCAAGTGTCAGCTGAAGTCAAAGCCCACATACAAGCGCACTTGGGATTTTTCCTGCCTTCTTGGAGTTCCTTGGAGGTGTATAAATGTAATACAGTGGATGCTCAGGTTGTGAACATGATCCATGGGAGAGGCACGTTCGCAACCCACAGCGTTCACAACCCGCAGTGCCGTGTCTGCGCACACGCAGGTTGCGATCCAGCGCTTCTGTGCATGCACAACCGCCGAAACCCAGAAGTAACCTGTTCTGGTACTTTCGGGTTTCGGCGCGTCCGTAACCCGAAAAACGCCCCCAACTAAAGAATCATGGCAAGACAAACTGATGGACTATGCAGAACTGGCAAAACTGACATATAAACTACGGGACAAGGATAACTATGACTTTAAGAATGAATGGGAACCCTTCACAAAGTATCTGAAGACGCAACAAAGCGAACTGGACTCCTTGGCAGGTTTTGAATAAACATTCACAAACTTTTTATTGTTCATAATCAGCTAAACAGTTTGAGGATCTATACAACTGTGTAACATGCAGAAAACAGCATTCTTAGAGAAACCAAAGACTGGAACTGAGGGAAGTCAGGGGGTGCAACCTGAAGCATCTGTAACCCGAGGTATGACTGTAATAAATAAATAGGATATACCCACCACTCTCTAAGTGTCCCTGAGGCTCTTGCCCTTTGAAGATAGCCTGGCATCAGGGAGGGTCCTTCTGAATCTTCAGGCACAAAAGATGGGTGGGGGCTTTTCTTTGATCCCATGCTCCTGCCAGAGTAGAAGCCGTACTAGCCCAGTGGTAAGCTGGCAAGTGCCTTACAGCAAAACAGACCATCGGTTCGTCTAGCTCAGTACTGACTGACTGGCAGTGACACTCCAGGGCTTCAGACAGGTTTCTCTTCCAGCTCTACCTGAAGATGCTGGGGATAAAACCTGACATCTTCACCGGCATGTGAAGTAGCTGCTCTGCCCCTGAGCTTTGGCTCAGCTGGAGTGGGCAGCTTGGAACTCCTTCAGTCTTCCTCTAGACTACACAGTTGTCCCGCTGTACACTTCACAGTAAAGTAGATTCAACTGAAGTCATTGCTTTGCATTCAAACTCTGACTTGGAATAATTCCAAAATGAGAGTCTAAAAGGCTGCAGTCCTAACCATGGTCTACTCAGAAGTAAAGTGGGGGTTAGGACTGCAGCTTTTTTTCATAGTACTAGCTTTTTTCAGTCGTGGGAAGATCAAATGTTGTTTGAGTGACTTCCAGTACAGTCATACATTGGAAGTTGAATGGAATCTGTTCCAGAAGTCCACTTGACTTCCAAACCGTTTGGAAATCAAAGCGCGGCTTCTGATTGGCTACAAGAAGCTCCTGCAGCCAATCAGAAGACATGGAAGCCCTGTTGGAAAGCTGCGGAAGCCCTGTCTGATGTTCAGTTTCCAAAAAATAATTCATAAACTGGAACAGTCAGTTCCGGGTTTGTGGTGTTCAGGAGCCAAAACGTTTGAGAACTAAGCTGTTCAAAAACTAAGGTACGGCTGTATTTTTTATTCATTGACAGCTAATTAAAATTTTAGCTGAGTGAAGCTCAACTAGAAATGAGTTTGTGGTCTTGTCTGCTATTGCCATAAGTAATGACAACTGTTCTCTTTCTCTCTGACCTTGTAAGTTCACATTGCATGTGCCAACAAAGGAACTTGCAGACTGCATTCTTACGTATTTTCCCCCCTAAATTATTTTCTTTTCAGGTCTCATCGCCTTTTCCACAGGGCCCAGGCAAGATGATGGCACATTCTACGAATTTCGTACCTATACTGTTAAGCCAGACAAGATGAAAGACTTCCTGGAACTGACCAGCAAAACATTCACCTTCGTACAGCTCATTCCCAGATGGTTGGATACTGGACCTCAGAATTTGGGGGACTGAATAAAAGCTTTCCATATTTGGAAATATGGTATGCAAACGCTTCTCTACATAGTGCTTTGGGGTTGTAACCGAGCAGCTAAGACTGTTGCTCTGGACCTCCTGTGGGGTGTGAATCTACTCAGGTTACTTGAGCAACATGGGAAGAAGCTGCTCTTTAGGAGTTCCTATATCATCAGTGTTGTTTAACAACCATGCCAAAGTTGGCAACTGGGAAGTGGGCCAAGGAGCATCACGCAGGGAGGGTAGGTTTTGTCGAAGCGCCGCCAGTTGCTGACCCCCCTAGTTCATTCCAATTGAGTGCATTTTATTTTGGAACCAACTTAACTATTTCAAAGTCACGAGCAATGCTGGCGAGGCTGGGATCGAGGGGCACATGGCTGTTGCGCCATCTCCGCGCCACCTCCCCAGATCCAAACTCTGTAAGGCCGCACAGGGAGGGCAGTGTGGGGACACGGCAACTGTGCACCCCTTCGAGCCCAGCCTCGCGCATCCCTCTCTTTGACATCCTTCTCTTTGGCTTGTAGAAAGCTTTGCTCAGAGATCTGCTGTCCGGACAGCATTGGCCAAGGACCAAGAATGGCAAGAAAAATACATGTCTCGGAATGCTGCCCTTGTTAGAGAAACAAGACAACGAAATTGCGTACCTGGTGCCCTGGTGTGAACTTGGCAGCCCTCCCCAAGGATGGTAAGCTTTTGTGTGTGTGTGTGTGTGTGTGGAGCACAGTGTAAAGCTGTTGACTCACTACTCTTAAATGGTTTCATTTAATGGGTACTTGTAGATATGTTGGCATCTTTGATTATGTAGACTCTTTCCCCCACTCCGAAGTAAACTCTGCCACACAATGGGTTTTCAATCTGTGTTCTGACTCTGCAAGCCATATGGACTAGAAATAGGCTTTTGAAAGGCTGGGGTTCCTTAAGATTCTAGAATGAGGAAGCTTTTAATCCATATTGGTCCCAAACTTCAAATGAACTTTAAGCCTAATTTTGTACTTTTTGCGTTTTGTTTACTCCTTGTTCTTCTCACCTCCTGTTTTTTTTTAATTAAAAGATTTTTCTTGATTTACAAAAGTGTTTGCAATGTCTCTCTCTCGTATTTTTTCCCCATGTAACATTTTTACAAATCAGTTTCATTTGTTGAGACATTAGGAAGAAAAACGAACAGCAAAGAACCTGCACAAGCAAGACTGGGGTTCCTTAGAAGCTTGTTAATGGTAGATGAGCTAAAGTATATTTGTGCGCCTCAGAAATGCGAACCCCCAACACAAAGATATGATTCATTGTGCTGATGGTACAGATTCAGCCAATTACAGAGCAGTCCAGTGGGGAAGGGGGGAAATTGCCTTTTCTCATGTGCCGTTGGGCTCACACTGTTTCACTGCTCCAGAGATGGCATGTCTTCCTGTTCTGGGAGTATGTTGAAGGAATGGGAGAGCTATAAGTTCAGTGTCTCTCCTGACACACCCTTGCCACATCTCTTTGCCCAGCAACCACAGAGAAGCTGGCTGCAAACCTTCCCGTGGCCTCGAGGAACATCTCTTTCTCTCCGCTCTTGGAAAGAAGATCCAACAGACATCCTTGGAACACCCTTGCAGAAGCTATAGGATTGCAGCTTTAGCCTGTATATTTTATTTGCACGTCTCATTCTATTTTGCTAGTTAAGGGGCACAGCGAGATG